CTCATTTCGCGAGATAGGCTTGCCCAAAGCAATTTTATTGCATTTTCTGGATATTTTTGGTATGTTGAATCCAAAAATGCAAGGGTCCATTTTTTTCGAGATTGTCTTGGCGGCCATTTTGGAATTTCAAAATGGCCGTCATTTTCACATAAAAAAATAACAATAACTGTGCCATTAGAGCAAATATCTACATCATTTTGGCAGCAAACCCTTTATTTTCAATGTCAACCTCTCCAATGGTGATATTCTCACTGATCATAAATGGCGGCCATCTTGAATTTCAAAATGGCTGCCGTTTTTATAGTAAAAATAACAATAGTTGTGCTATTAGAGAAGGTATCAACTGATTTTGGCAGCAAACCCTATATTTTCAATGTCAACCTGTCCAATGGTGAGATTCTTATGAATCATACATGGCAGCCATATTGAATTTCAAAATGGCTGCCATTTTCACAGTAATAATTACCATAATTTTGCTATTAAAGCAGGTATCGACATGATTTTGATAGCAAAACTTATGTTTTCAATGTCAACCTGTTCAAATGATATTCTTACTGTAATGGTGGCCATCTTGAAATACAAAATGGCCGACAAGTTTCAAGCAAAAACTTATACATGCCAGCAATCCCTCTTTGGCCGGGAGATTCCTGTTTTGGTATTCTGACCACAGGCCAATTTTTCTCACGTTTTTTCGTGCTCTTCCAGTGTACAACAAATTGCATTATACGTTAATTGTAGTCTTTTTGTAATAACACACTACGGAAAACGGACCAGTCCTTATGTTGAATAATTGGACATGAAGTTGCAGTTGCTAAAATACCAGTCCAGTAATTATAGAAAACGCACTTTTAGACAAGTATTGAATCCAGATTTTGTATCTTGTACTGAAAAAGGGCTAGAAAATGAGAAGTTAATCCATATAGACATAGCCTGTAGGCACATTTTGTCTTGTGTAGATACAAGATAAAATGTGGTTCAATTAAACACAGAAGTTATTTAAAATCAATACCGTACTTTTATTATTGGAATACATATCATAAGAATCATGAAATTTGCCCTTATAATACATTAATAGCTGAAGCCTCCAAGGGGAGGGTTACTCGTAATGGGAACACCTCTCCCCACCTCATGACCAAATTCCCCCGTTTTTTACTATCAAAATGTTAGCATGTATGAAAACTGCATTATTAAAAAAAAAAGTAAATACCTGTATGTCGATTGAAAAAGATTTTATTACGAACTTAATAACACATTAACCAGTCCAATGGTGATATTCACATGAAGAACGGATGCCAACTGCCTTTACTCAAAATGACTGACATTTTTTCAGATGCATGTCAAATGTTTTTACAATATCAGCCACTGCGGTATTAATCTAGAAATTGCATAAGAGTTCCTTAATCAGCAGATCAACATATCTTGTTAGAACAATCAAACTTGTGTCATGCTATTCTTCTCTGCCATCTACACATTTGAAACTTGAAATTATTTCATTAGGTATTATTGTTTAAGAGTTTGCATGGCGAAGTAACAATAATAAAAAAAATGTACCGGTAGATGTTGGTGGTAGTAGATATCTACATGGTGTAGAGCAAACTGGTGTAGTCAAACATGAATAAAATCGAGAACCACAATGGAAACCATTACACCAACCCACTCTCTCATCATTAATGATTAAATTGGTAGGCATACATACCACCTATGCCCTTCAAATAGCCTCATTGACTACTAGTTTTTAAAGCAAATCCAGTTATTATGGTGTAGACGTCTGTTCAAGCACTTTAAAAGTGCTTGAACAGACCTCTACACCATAAAATCGGGCAGAAAATTATAGTTCTTGCGCAATTTTTTCTGGAACTCAAATTTAGCCACCACTATGGTTGGATTCGGACGTAAACTCAATTACATGGGTAATCTACTAATAACCTCGGGGCTAAATGTGACCGTCGTTCGGACGAGTAAAATAACAATCCATTTACCCAGTAATTTGGCGGAAGTTACGTATTTTACAAGCTTCTGCAAGGTCAGAATTCTGAATAGTTCGTGACCTGAGTGACGACCCCGTGTCAAATTATCAATGATTTCGCGGCAATTTCAATACTTCATACACGAATTTACGCTATTTCTGTTTGTTTTTTGTACAATTTACTCATTTCCTTGCGATTATCCTTACAAATTGACGCCGAATTATGATTAACCCAACCGACCTAACTATCCTGACAACTTTTATATTGCTTCTCGACGACGGATTTGATCTAAACCAAGTATTTAGACGAAGAAAGTACAGCAACGACGAAGACAACGACAACGGCGGCCTAGGCGTAGGCCTACACCAACAAGGGCAACAGCGGCTCACCATGGCCCTTGTAGCATGCAGGGAGAGGCTGCTCAGGCGCGACGGGCCTAGGCAAAGGCGAACGGTAATATTTCGAACTGACCATTGGTGGAGTATCGATGTTTTGCAACACTTTACGAATAGTCAGTGGCGTAAAAATTTTAGAATGGGTCAGGCAACATTCAATTATTTAACCGATATTCTTGAGCCTTATATTGGGAGACTGGACAATCCATTTGGAAGAAATATTCCGACTAAAAAACTTGTTGGGATGGCATTATATAGGCTGTCAACAAACTGTGATTTAAGAACAATAGCAAATTTATTTGGTGTTTCATGTTCAACTGTTTGTGAGGTTGTACATTCCGTTTGCAGTGCCATAACAGAGTTCTTGCAGCCCAGGTATATTGTGTGGCCAGAGGGACAACGGCTTACCGAAACAGTAAATGGCTTCCAACAATTTCATGGTTTCCCCCAGTGTGTTGGAGCAATAGATGGTAGTCATATTCCGATAATTGCTCCATATGACAGACCAAATGACTATTATAACCGGAAAGGGCATCATTCCATTGTGTTACAAGCAGTAACCGATCATATGCTAAGGTAAGCATTAACTGAAGATGAAAATAAATAATATTTAGGGCCTAGGCCTATTTTAATGATAGTATTGATTGAAAAATTCATATTTAGAAATGAGTTGATTTTAATATACAATTTACCAAGATTTAATAATTACTGTACAGTAGACATTTTGTAGTTTGATGTGCATGTACAATATAATTTTTACTTATGACATGATGCAGATGGTTTATTTCTTTTGATTTAAAGTACGCCTAAAATATTTAAATATTGCTAAAGTGCAAGTCGGAAAAAAAAAATCTCACTGGCCCGCAGCCTCTTGGACCATAAACCAAACATTGGATTGTTTGCGTGCATTTCATGTCAAAGATTTTATCAAATATAAAGGCTACCAATTGTAATGGATTGCAGAAAATGGAAAAAAGAAAATGCTGGCTCAGTCCAGTAAAAGATGCTTTTCCTTAATTTCAATTCTAAACTTCTGGTTGCTTTTTTTTTTCAGGTTTACAAATATATATGTGGGTTGGCCTGGCCGTGTTCATGATTCCAGGATCCTACGAAATAGTGAAATTTTTGCAAAAGCGGAGAATAGGCAACTCCTTCCAGTGGTAAGACCATTTGCAGGAGACTTGTGTCAAACAAAATATACATATATATATTTATATATATATATATATATATATATATATATATATATATATCCAAACATTATGTATCCATGTGATACCTCTATAGTTTTTGCCAACAAACTTAAAGAAGATGACAGTCTCAATATACATAATGTGCAGTTGCATTGGTTTTTGCTGATAAAGAAAGTAGCAACCATGGCAACCTATAACAACATTTTATTACAATAGTAAAACAGTGTTTCAAAAAAAGAGTTTGAATTGGACATTAATTTTTTGATAGATTTAAGATCTATTAAAAATTAACATGTATGTAACATAATATAAACTCATCTAAAATTGAATAACTTTTTTTTTTGTTTTGCACAGAGAACTGAATTGATAAGTGGGGTACAGGTGCCATTACTTATTCTTGGGGATCCTGCATATCCGCTCAAGACTTGGCTGATGAAAGGCTTTCCCGGAGAAAATCTCCCAAGACAACAGCAGACCTTTAACTACAGACTGTCTCGCGCCCGAATGGTTGTTGAAAGAAGTTTTGGTATGTTGAAGGGTCGGTGGAGACTCCTGATGAAAAGGAATGATAGCTTGCTTAAGCATGTTCCAAATATGGTGGTTGCATGTTGCGTTCTCCACAATTTTTGTATAGAGGAAGGGGAGATATACAACCCAGAGTGGGATGTAGTTGATGAGCAACCACAAGTTGAACCTCTTAGAAATGCTGCAGAAGAGGTTTCGGGAACAGACATTCGCGCTGCTCTTGTAAGATATTTCCAAGAGTAAATGGAAATGTTAAACTGTAAAGAAATTACTGGCAGTTCTATCCAGTTCATTGATGCAATCATCATTTGTTGTGTAAAACTCTGTAACTACTGCACTGTGATTCTTGCTTACAACATTTAATAATATTGTGTGTACTGTATATTGTAAAAATACAAATGTTATTGTAAATAAAATAAACATTGTATTCGGTATTGACAGTTCAATCTTTTTGATTATTATACAGTTTTTTGTACCAGCTTGAGGTGGTTACTGCTTGCGTCATCATTAGTCCAGAGATATCACTGCCTAATTGATTTTTTTGTACGCATGTACAGTGAGTGCTTGACCAACTACTAGCCTGCTTTCCTTTTAAATTATTATTCAGTCAGCATTGCACTCTGTCCATCATCTGTAGAAAAAGACTAACACCAACACATGTAAATGACTTGGATCTTCTTTTCTTTAAATATTTATTATATAGTGTATAAAAATACATATAAAATGGTATATACAAAAACCAGCACCGGGAAAAGTATTGCAATGTTTGAACTTTGGAATTACTGTTAATCATATATTACTGTACTCTAGTGTATTTTATTTGCACAAAACCTGAAACAAACCAACATGCACAATAAAAAAAATACATATATAGATTACAAAATATAAAAGGAAATGCAAGTACCAATACATATAATGCAAACCAACTGACCATGAAAATGTACTGCAATATTTAATCAAGGAATACTAAATGTACTACGGTTTCTATTATATTTTTTGACACAAAAGCTAAAACAGACAGACAAGCACAATAAAAAAAATACATATGAAATAGTATATTAAAAAATACAAGTACCAATGCATATAATGCAAACGAACTGATCATGACAAATATTCAATCAAGGAATAACGAATGTTCTACTATATATTTTCTAGTATATTTTTTTACACAAGATTTAAATATGAACATGCATATAAAATGGTACTGGTATAAAAGAAGAAAAAAAAAACAATACCAAGACAGATAATGCAAGCGAACTGATTTGAAAAAAAGCATTGCAATGTTTAGACTTTGGAATTCAATCAAGCATTGATTAACGAACATATTGCATATTTTCTTGTGCAATTTTTTACTTTTTAAACAAAACTTAAAACAAACCAACATGCTGCATATAAAAATACATATAAAATGATATTTTAAAAGAACAATTACGGTACATATAATGAAAGCTATTGGTACTGGAAAAAAGTATTGCAAACATTAATGAATAGATTAATGTAACATCCTCTATTGTATTTTTTTCTCATAAAAAAAACCTAAAACAAAGCAACATGAAGTTCTTTAAACTATCTACGGTATATGGACATGCAAAAAAGTTGGAAAGCAGATTTACAGTAATGAAGTTGTAACACTTCTTACAAACTTCACATAAAACCCATAACTGTATTCTATCTGAAACAAACTAAAATACTGATCTACAGTATGAGAAACTGGCAATATTTTGTATCATTTAACACAGTTTCTGTAGTGACGTTTGTTGAAACATTTCAACCATCTTTACCATGGTTGGTGAGGTGAAAAAAGTTGCCGACTCTCCTCTTGTGCTTCACTTGATTTTGTCTGTTCCTGTTGTTGTGGTTGGTGGTGCTGCGGTTGGTGATGCTGCGCGTGTTGTCTTGGCCAATACCCTTCTTGCCGTGTAGGAAGCAAAGTCTGATGTTGTCTTTGGCCATGTTCAGACTGTTCATATGATTGTTGCGCAGCATTGTATTGCGTTGGTTGTGGAAAAGTCTGTGGTGCGGCCGGTCGAAGCATCATTCCTAAAGCCTGAATCATTCTCATTTGACGTTCAGATGATAGTTCATGCATACGCATCATCATCCTTTCCTCTCTCTCCTCTCTCTCTCGTTCCAACTCTCTCTTTGCTTCAGCCGCCTTTCTTTGATCTTCTAACAACTGCGCACGGAATTCCTGGTTAGATTTCTGAAACACTTCTGACAACTCTGAAACTAAACTGGTCTTGGCCTTTTTCCTTCCTGGAAGTATAACATTATAAAGTTATTGTTAATAACATGAACTTTTTACAAATAAGTCTTAGGAGAAGGAGTACAAGTTCAAGAAACAACATTATAATCATGGATGTATTAAGGTTTTTTTTCAAGTCTGAAAATTAATTAAAATGAATTGAACTTTGCCATTAATGTCAAATTATTAGTGGAGTTGTTTGGTGTTCTGTGCAAGTCTTAAAACTTGTAATTTGGAGGTCCCGAGTTCAAAATTGATACTAAATAATGTGCTTTATTTACGAAACCAGATAGGTACTCTGGTTACTAAACTTTGAGCTCTGGTTTAGACTTGTCGAGTATCTAATTTAATAAAGTAAAAACAAAAAATACTGTACCTGATTTAGTTGAGCATTTCCTTTTCTGATTTGTTGCCACTGCTAAAAAAAAAAAATATCAACAATTTACAGCATAACATATAATATAAAGGAACACTATAGCTAGTTCAGTTTAAACTATCTGTAATATTAAGTTTATTACTTTATTGGCCTCGTTATCAAATTTGATTTTATTACAGTATTCAGACTTGCTGCATTTAAGGTTTCATTTCTTTGATTTGCAAGAAATTTGTGTTTTTGTAAATTATGAAAGTATGATGTATGCAAATTCAGTTTATTTTTCATATTTTTATGTGAAATACTTTAGGCCTAATGCCACAAATATTGCAACAATACCCCCACACCTTCCTGTTTTCTGAAACAAACCCTGATGCATATTTTACCTGTATCTGGCTCTGCGTCTTCTTGTACTCCACTATCATCTAAAAGAAAATGTAGAAAGGAAAGTGAACTTTAAAATTAAACATTTATCATTATTGATAAACTAGAAAATTATGCCTGCGATTTGGCACTTATTTATAGGCCTAGAATAATAATAAACAGTAGGTCTAGGAGTGTTTAATGCTTAGCATGTAATAATTAAACTAATCTGGGCCTAGTGGATAAATTAATTATTTAAGAACTAACTAAAACATGAAATTTGGGCCAACACAAAAATACAGGCTTAGGCTACCTATGTTTTTACTTTTTAAAATATTTTGGTGTGGATCATGGGTTCTGTAAAAATGAAGACTCTGGGCTAGTAAAAATGGAACTTGCATAGGGACCTTGGCTAATTTAACAGCAGCGAAAAAACGGCACTATTATGCACTTTCTTTAGTACTCCACCCTAACCTTAACTTACCTAGGCCTGGGTTAACAGCTGCTTGGTTTGGTGGATCCCGGTTTGAGGAGCCTTCACTTTCAAGCGCCTGGCTTGTTGTAGGCCTCCTTCCTGCAGCTGACCTGCTGCTGCTTGGTGTACTTGTTCTTGGCAGGGCCGACCCGGCAACATATGTTGGATTCGTCGCAGGCCGATCTCCAAAAATATCGTCCATCTCGGCGAAATATTGCCATTCAGCCGGACCATGGCCGGATTTGTTTTGGTCATCCTTGGCCTCCAAGTACAACCGTTTCAAGTTCTTACACTTGTTCACAATTTGGCAAAGTTCATAAACGAAACCAAGTTCGTCCATTTTTGCCTTTATTTGGCCATAAATTGCCCCGTTTCGTCTTGTGCCGTCAAACCCGTTCTGGATCTTGGAGTTACCCCATACGCTTATTAGTGCATATGTAGCGGCATCACTCCAATGTACATTAACCATTCTGTATAAAACTCGAAAATATTCTGAAACAGCGACCAAAACTTCAAAACAACAGCATGCAATGTGAAGACGACCAGCTTGGAAAGAAAGCTTGGGCAACAACGCGAAGAATCATGCAGCGTCGTCGCGCGCTTCTTTTCGTCCAGTGCACTCTGACCCGGTGTTGTTTACAAATCTGAAGGGTCAACTTGTGACCTGGGCCTTGTTACGAGTGATTAATTACGCCTTGAGGCAAGGTGTAATTGAAATATCCAGTAAAAAAGGTGGGTTTTTGGGCCAGATGTTTTTCGAATTTTCTATACCCAGGGGCATTATTTAATTGCCGTACGCGACCGCTCAGCTGGTGGTACCCAGTTAAATTTTACTCGTCCGAATCGGCCCTATGACTGCTTTGGGTGCTGGAAGAGTAAAATATGTTGTTGGCATGACCCATTAATATTTCTCCCATCAACAATTCGTTCTTGACTGGGATAATATTTTAATTAAAGTGTCATTTACAGACTTGTCAAAAAGTCATATCAAGGTAACAACAGTACTTGCAATTTTCCTATTTTTTTCATTTGCAATAACCAACATTGATATAGGGTATGGCAAGTAAGCATTTATTAGTTTTGTGTCTAAGGCAGTCTATAAAATACAGTAGCATCAATGTGTCTGTCATTGATGCATCCTGATAATGTTTAACATCTTCCGACAATTGAAAGCGTTGACCTTGGTATCTGTTCCCTAAACAATAACCAACTTTTTAAACTGCATTCTCCAAATGGATGTGCCCATGTGCCATAGATGACTTAATTTTGCCAAAAGATAATATCTATCACAGGCACATGGTTTATTGCCAAATTTCTTTCGATGTCATATTAATTGGTTTTGCTTTGTTCTTTTAATGGTTTGCACTTCACTAAATATTGAACATCATATCTGTCGAATTTTAACAAAGCTGGACTGTTTTATCTGGTTTGTAATCATTAATCTGTGTCTTTGATGCTGTCATTATTTATGATTGATATATTGATCATGTTAAACTCTAACCATTAGCAAAGATAAGGAAACAACCTCTGTCTTTGTTCTATCAACTTGATACGTTGTCCCCAATCCCACAATTATATTTTGGTATTGCCAAATGGTAAAAATACCAATGAAGTAGATCCAACTCTTATTTTTTGGAAACATAACCCATAGTGAACAATAAAATTAGTTTGCGCATTCCTTGTTCTACTGTCTTTGCCGATTAAATACCCTTTGCACCTAATTGTGAGACCTCTTCCTTTCGAAGTAACTGACTGCGATTTAATTTAATCTGCATGGGAATATTAACTGTGGACTGTTTGATATTACAATATATAGTTGACATCGAAAACCTATGGTTTGCCACCAAAATCAAGTTGATACCTGCTCTAATAGCACAGTTATTGCTATTTTACTTTCAAACTGGCAGCCATTTTGAAATTCAAGATGGCTGCCATTTATTGTTTGTGAGAATATCACCATTGGACAGGCTGACATTTAGAAAATAGGGTTTGGTACCAAAATCATGTCGATACCTACTCTAATAGCGCAGTTATGGTTACTTTTACTGTATAAATGGCGGCCATTTTGAAATTCCAAAATGGCCGCCAAGACAATCACGGAAAAAATGGACCTTTGCATTTTTGGATTCAGCATACCAAAAATATCTGGAAAATGCAATAAAATTGCTTTGGGCAAGCCTATCTCGCAAACCTGTTTTTTTGGACACTAGGTTTCTCACTAAAATTCGACTTCTTGTTTCCATCCCTCAATATTAATTTCTATGTGTGGAGAAACATTATTAGCTGAATACAAATAAGTTGATCAGTATTATATAATTATTATACCACTGCAATATGTTTTGAATTGTTTAGGCGCCCCAATTAACTTTTTAACAAGGACATTAAGGTAGGTAGGTAGCCCTGCGGTGCGATAATAGGCCGAGGCCCTAGGCCTTTTTACTTCACTAATCCAGCTGGTCGAGGTGAAGACAGGTACTATGAATGATGATTCGGAAGGCTAAAGTGTGATAATTTTAATACAGAAATAAACGCCAAAATATATGCTTACGAACATTGGTTCGCGCGAGTTATGTTCATTGATATTGACCTTCAGGCCAGTATAATGTAGTGAGACGGCGATCTGCGGCGATATCCAGCCTAGCTATGTTGTACGAAGCACGCTGCGGGTGCGGTGTAACGCTCCCGATGCGTGTACAAACCCTAGGTTTTGCCTACGCGTAGTAAATGCGTAGCATTTACTACGCGTAGACTACGTTAATCCTACGCGTAGCCCACGAAGCCTACGCGTAGCAAAAGTTGCAGTATTTTTTATCTGTACTGTAGCAATCATGGTTAGGTAGCACACTCTGCACGTTTTCCCATAGTGGCTGATGGGACATGTTGTTTACCTCTGGGATTTATTTTAGGACGAGTCCTAATGCAATGACAATGTCGGTAGGCGCGCTGTCGGTAGGCACTGGCAGGCTTAGGTAACTGACGAAGCCGCCGGTAATTATTAGGCTTAGGCCTAGAAAGGGCAGATTAAAGCATTCATATGATTATCGTATATTAAACGCCTAATTAAAGAAACTCTCTTTACATTCATTTTACTAGACAGTACGTCTGTTCTGACGAACGTTCAGATCTGGTGTAGGCATTGATAGGCGACTGATAATGTGTTAAACAGCTGATGCATTACGACGCGTTACAACGCGTAGCGATCGCTTCATAGCGGTTCGTGCTACGCAAATCCTACGCATTGCCTACGCAAATCCTACGCGTTATCTACGCGTAGCTACGCGTGCTACGAAGGCAGTAATTTTTATCTGTACTGTACGTTGATTTTTGGTGGATTCTTGTCTTTGGTCGGTTTTTAGATGAACACTTAGGTTGAATCGGTGTCAAGCAATCCCTCTCTGCTGTAAAAATCGTTGTTGTAACTTAAAGAACTGTGAACAACATGAAAAGAATGGAGAAATAAAAATAAAGTTTAATAAAATCAAGTCGCCTAGTCACTTATACTATATAGTGTTGCTTTAATATTCAATAATTAAAAACAGTTTAAAAAAAATAATTGAAAAGCATCGTCATATGTTGAGCCTGTGGACCATGGTGGATAATCGCAACAATCAAGAAATCAATATAAATGTTCATTTAAACAACTTTATGGTAACTATTGTTATTAGGCAGTTTTCGCCGCACAACGTTAACGTTAACGGATGATGTCATAATTTATTCATCTTGCATTGCGGAGTACATTAATTTCAGGATTTTAAGTGCTCAACGTACGTTAGTTAATGGGTTTGCCCATACGTATATCGATTTGTTTACAAAAGAGGCGGAGCTATTGCACTGCATGTTGGGTACTAACATTAAAGTTAACGTCGTGCGGCAACTACCTATTAGCTCAATCAATGGGGAAGGTAACCCTTTCAGCTGAACCTGCAGGCCAGCTGATATGAATGCGGGCCCTAAAAATAACCCTGTGTTGGTTATAAACAGTGTATAAACAGCACCTAGGCCTAGGGTACAGGTTTTTAAAAGGGCCTAATGTTGGATTAACAATCACTGAAAATAATGTGTAGGACTATTTTGGTGTTTAATGAAGCATTTAACATGTTTACCCGGGTGGGCTAGAGTAAGATACCTGCGATGATCCTGGCAATGATCGTTATTGGCTATCCATGGCCAGTGTGGTGTTGTGTCACTTGTTTGTGGTGTTCCAAACTGAGGCCTAACCTAGGCCTAGCGAGGGCCTAGGCCTGTAGTTAGGCTAAGCTCCATAGGCCCCTAGGCCAGGTAGGTTAAGACAGGCCTAAAAAATTGAATGTCGGAAAATTGACAGGTAAAGTATGGGCTATAGCTCGTACTTTTAGAACTAAATATTAACAATGTAATACTCACATTTCAATGAAAATCATGTTATCTTGTTTTTGTTTTCCATCGATTGTCGGCAATGTAGACTCGTCTCCCTGTCAAGAAAGATTCACATGGTTGTTTAGTTTGTTGACCCACACACAGTGACATAGAGCAGACCTGGATTGACACGATATGTGACGGTCCAGTATATTACTACGCGTGTGATATAATTGACTGGATTGTATTGCGGAGATAATCGTAAATAATTGAAAATTATAGCGATACAAAAGAATAACATATAAATATTGAGAAAGACATAGTGGCTCATATCTGTGAGAAAACACTTAAAGAGTCATGAATATCTGGAGCTACTTTGTTTACGTGTATGCACCCTTCTGAAATGACATTGTGAAAAAGTGCCGGCCAGGACTAATTTAAATCAGCTTTTTATTAATTATTAATAAATGACACGATTTTGGAAAACACCACATAGCCTATTACCTGCCCAGTACCAATCTGAACATTTGAGTGAAAATTTGGTTGAAATCAGTTCAGTAAACAAAACCTGGACATACAAACCCCAATTTGCCTTTTATTATAGATTTATACTCATAAAGTAAAGTAGGATACAAATATTTGGCTGGCACAATTGATTCTAAAAAAAAAAGTAATTTTTGATCTTTTACATATGACTTTTATTGTATATAATTAATGTTTGTTGATACAATGTCGGTTCAAACGTTAATTCGTTCAATACTTGGAAAAAAAAATGAATGAAGAATGAATGAACTTGATTGCTTTAATTGGCATAAAACACTGAACACAGCGAGCGCTCATTGATTGAAAGGAGCGCTCTTTGATTGAAAGCAAGCAAAAAGACAGCATTATCGGCGCTTCATACTTTTTGGCACTCGATCGGTGGCGGCCGATAGTGTTGGCGGCCGAAGTCTACCTAATCCCTATTAGGCCTAGCCCCTCTAGACTCATACTTTGACTTAAAATGATTAAATTAGGCCTAGGCGTAGTCCTGTAGTCTTCTAGACGGTCCTACTAAATACCACACGGACCACACGACTCCACTCGAATGCAAAATGATTAAAATATTACCACACGAGAGTAGAAAACGACTTGGTAATCAGTAAAAACCAACTTTTATAGTGATAGTTGTCCGAATTATGGTAAAAATTGACTAAAAATGTTTTGACATATTAAGTATCTTTAACGCATTGACGTCTGTAGAAACGCGTTCAACGATAACCTTTTTTAAATAGGCTTACTGCACTCACTTCGTAATTACTTCGAGAGACTATTTTATTCTAAAAATTAAAGGCACACCACATAAAATCTAATGAACTAAAAAATAGTATTTGTTGTTAAAATTACTAACTTTATTATATTATAAGTAGGCCTAATATACAAACTATTATTGTTATCACATAATTATTATATTGTAATATAATACGCCTTATTTAAATTATGTAGGCTAAATTACAAAATTGAAAAATTTTAAAAATATATACAGTTCTTACAAAATAGGATTGAAATAAAGGTGGGCGTTACTCCCACAGAAGAGAAAAATTGTCAGTTCAGGATTCATTCCTTTAGTTATTATGGGTATTGTTTTTCAGTTTTTCATAATATATATTTATTGTGTACAACAATGAGTAATAAAGGAGATAACGCTTAAATGTAAAATATATTATAAACAAATAGATTCAGAATGACCAATTTATCCGAAGTCAAGAATTAGATTCCATTGGGATACGAGTAAAATATAAACAAACATATTCAAGATTTAAAAATATTTATTTATAATATATTTTTATTTATAACATTTCATCAAATATCTACTTACTTCGGGACCGCTCATTTTATTAACATTCTACAGTATGATAGATAAATTTGTTGACTGCTTCCTAAATCACTGTAGGGCTAACGGAACAGTACCGTATTTATAGTTAATTGACATACATCAGCCCTGTACACATAAACCATTACTGTTTTTTTTTTTTATCAAGATATGCCCTTTGTGTTTATGCTAATTAATATGTCAAACTATGCAAGATATCACAATAAAGAAAGTGGCAGGGACGATTACAATTTTTGAGAAGAAATAAATATATTTTTCATTTCCCGAAAGACATAAACTCTTGTTTTCTGCCACTTGTGATTAGTCTTAACTAAAAATCAGCAACAGCAACACTATGAAGCAATGATGATAAACGTACTAATTTTTTTTTTAAATTAACCTTCTATAAACTGATCTCTTGCATACTTGACACATAAATTAGCATAAACAGTAAAGTCATATTTTTTTAATGAAATAACACATGGTTTATATAGCTGTACAGAGCTGATGCATGCTAATTAGCAGAGGTTACTTATAAAATATACTGTACATGGTAATATTTAGGCCAACATATTAGCTCAGGACATAGTAACCTAATAATAATAATAATAATAATAATAATAATAATGAAGTGAGTATATATTTGATGAAAAATGAAAATGTTTTAGTTTTTATACGGTAATTCTCCTACTCTGGTAACCCAATGGAAACTAATTCTTTACTACAACAATTCTGTATTTATCACTTCTAATATATTTTATATTAATCTTCTTTATTCCATTGATGTACTGTACATTCAAATTAAAAAAAATGTATGTATGAGCATTGAAAGAAATAGAATAAATGTATCTAACAATATATTAATACAAATGTACTACCAGATAGGCCTAGGTTAGACTAGACCCTACGTCTTTTTGAACTCCGCTTAGCCTGCGTAGTCTGACGTATTTGCAGGTTATTACTCTTTCCTAAATATGTAACATAATAATATTTTGTTTTACGTAGTGTATATGCTGTCTCTTATACACATCTAGATGTGTATAAGAGACAGGTCTACATGCCTTGTTGTCATAATTTTTTGTTTCAACGACTTATATATAATTTGAAGAACACACGTGGATTTACAATGATATACCTGTATATATATGGGTATTTCCATGAAGTTTGGCCAAGGTCACAAATCACACCATCACCAGTTAAATTCAAGACTGTGCTAGGCCCACAGAAAGAATTCAAGTATGTTGTGTTATTAAAAACGTAGTCTGAGCTTCAATGTACTATGACAGAAAATTTGGGTTCACATAGGCTTCAGCTTTTTGAAATAGAAACTTTTTTCATACAGTGTCCCATCCGAATTCAGCGGAAAATTTGGGACATTTTTAACATGCATTGTATTTTCGATTATAAAATCAACGAACATTACGTAAACCCGACTTACTTTTGTATTAATTTCATGCTTCAACAACCATTGATACGATGCGTATGTTTTGATTTGCAGAGATTCCCATTTTCGCACAAACGTGATTGTTTATAAATTAGCTGTAAAGACGTAATGCGTGGTGTCCCCTGTTGTAAAAATAGTTGCGTCCTGTCCGGGGGTGTACACTGTTGTTGTAATAATAAATTTCCAAAATTTAATGTGTATTATATTAGTTACGTATTTGAATATTATGTGAATATAATTATAATTATATTTGCTGTTTCGTTATTCGATTAGAATCAATAAAGCAATAAAAATGAGTTGTGGTGTCCATTTTAATATCGATACGTCTTGAAACCAATCAGGGTTTTCAAAGTGCACCACCCTCACTTTTGAAATGGATCATTCTTAAAATGCCTTGCGAATCATGTTTGAAACCCGTCTGAGATCTGAAGAACAACTTTCTGGTCAATAAACATTGCGCGGGCTGCTTTCAATTCTGGAGTCCTGTGGTTGCGTCTTGATTTTCTTCTCGATTTTTGTTACGTATTGTTATTAATACGCCTGAATGAAAAGAAAGGTAAGTGAATAATTCAATTATTAATCAACCTAGTTAAAATGCTAAAGTGTCGTAAGTCATGTGATTATTTTCAAGTTTCCAATTTGTTTTTATTATTGCAGAAATTTTGACAATTCTGATTTAGAATTAAATTTTGCCTGGTTTGGTTTTGATTACGTCTTGATCGGAAATAGCCTAGGCCCTAGACATTTGTCTGTAATTCTTTGGAATTAATATATTCTTTGGTGATGTAAAATAATTAAAGATTGTTGTACATGTTTTCGCTATTCTATATTATTTATTATTATAATATAAAATAACATTATGTAGGGGAATTGTAGGGACGTATCACGAGCCAGGACAGATGCGATGTCCTTGGCTCGCTGGATACGTCTTGCTGTCATAAGATGATAGGATGCATTTTATTTAGTGTAATATGTCCTAAATATGATGTAATTAAACTAAACGTTGTTTTAAATAAACTAGGAAAAAAGTAGTATTTGTCCGTTTATACAATATTAGTTTAGGGTGAAATTGAACCAGGACGTATTGTAGAGGCCTGGGGAAATGGTGTCCTTTTTGGTTCGGATAGGCCTAGGTTAGACTAGACCCTACGTCTTTTTGAACTCCGCTTAGCCTGCGTAGTCTGACGTATTTGCAGGTTATTACTCTTTCCTAAATATGTAACATAATAATATTTTGTTTTACGTAGTGTATATGTAGATTTAATAAATATTTGTAGATGAAATTATAGGATTCGATTTAAATTTCCACGGACGTATCGCATGATTGGGCTGAAACGGCGTCCATGGATACGTCTTGCAAGTTGCAAATTAAGAAGGGAAATATCATGTGGTTGGCCAGGTATAATATTATACTGTAGCTTTCTCGGCCGTGGACAATCTCGATCAATGAGGCCTATCATGGGTAGCCGATAATTGTTTTTATTGTTTACTTTTATTAAATTATAAAAGCATAATTAAGTGTTCACTTTCAAATTAAAATTTAATCTCAGGCTTGCCCTAAATCTAAAATATATATATTTTTTTAAATAAAACTATGTTCACATTATTACATTGACAAATTAATATATTAAGTTAGGTGGCATTTCCAATAAATTCCACAGAATATCAGATTTTTTTGGGATCCTAAATTATTGTATAATAAATACATTTGACAATCTTAAAAGCAATACAAAAAATAATTTAATAAATTGTATGAAATTTCTTGCATTTCAAGCATCTCATTTTCTATTTACAATCCATACTACAGGTGGTATGTCTTATAAGCTACGAATAAACCTTCGATTGAAACCTTCAACATCAAGTGAGCCTACACCGGATAATCATCCATGTACTTCAACCGGTACTGCAAAAAAACCAAACTGGTACCAGAGACTAAAGCAAAATGATCCTGAAGGATATGAAGCCCACAAGAAAATTGATGCAATTAAGTCAGTTCTCTGGAGAGCCAGCCTTACTGGGGATAAGAAGAAACATTATAATGAGATGTCAGCAAAAAGAATGAGGGAATATAGGCAAAGGAAGAAAGAGGCTGCTGTAGCTACACCGGTGTTAAAAAGGAATAGAAAAAAGAAGAATAATGCGACAACAAGGCAAAGTGAAAGAGAAAAGGAAGCAAAAAGAGAAAAAGAAAGAGAAAGAAAAAGAGCACAAAGAGCAGCGCTGAGTCAAGCTAAGAGGGAAGAAATCAATCGAAAGCGAAGGGAGAATCCTAATATCAAAATTGGACTAAAAAAGTTCTATGAACTAAGGCCATCACATATTAAGACTGTTGGCACCATGAAGTACAGAGGCTGCCTGTGTGAATATTGTACTAATATTGACTTGAAAGTCACAGCAATTAACAATATTGCACATAGGTGGAATATGCCATCACCGCTCCAGGGCGTCTATGACGTAGCACGCCTATCGATGTGTTTGAAAGAGGGGCAGTACCACAAGCCAGCTTGTATAGCGAGGGAATGTGTTGATTGTGGAACAAGTCAACTTAAATGCCACCTGAAGCCCATCAAAATTTCACAAGGGGAGAAACCAATAAAATGGAGAAAGTGGGAGAAGAAATCTATCCAAACCAGTGGCACAACAGAATCTCGACAAGTGATCATTACGAAGGAGGGCACCATAAACGAATGTATTGAGGAACTAGTCGAGGCATCTGAGCAGATATCCACTCATCTTTTTAATGCTTCCTGGCAAAATCAACAATTCTCGCAATTGACAAAGAATCTACCAACTGGCTGGGTGGTTATGGTACTGGACTTAGCCGAGAATTATACCTGCAAATACCAGGATGAAATCCAGTCAGCCCATTGGTACCACACCAATGCAACAGTCCATCCTATTTTAGCATATTATGCTTGCCCCCTTTGTGGTGAAACTATGGAGGAATCTATAGTTTTTATCTCACTGGACAAGTCCCACGACTTCCATGCTGTTAACAAGTTCATGGAAATAGCTGTGTCCCATTTAAAAAAACAACTTGGTAAGACAATGAAGCAGATAGTCAGGTTTTCAGATGGCTATGGAGCTCAGTACAAGAGCAAGGGACCATTTTTTGACATATCCTGTGCTGAAGAAAAGTACAACATCAAAGTCCACCATGTATTCTATGGCTCCAGGCATGGAAAAGGTCCCAGTGATGGGGAAAGTGCGGTGGTAAAGCGCCAAACATCAATGGCTGTTTTAGGAGGCAAGGCAGTAATCAATGACGCCAAAGGCCTGTTTGATTTTTGTGTCCTTAATGTAACCAAGAAACCAGTAGCCATAGATGAATGCCTTCACTTCCAAAGAAAGTTCTTCTACACTGATAACATCGATCATGATCGTGGCATCAACCCTGTGAATCTCCGTACAGTCAAAGGAACCAGACTCATTCACAGCGTAAAATGTATTGAACCTGGCCTGATATCAACCAGAAACCTGTCATGCTTTTGTGCTCCATGCGCTAAAGAAAGTGGTATGTGTCAAAATGCTGAATACGTGAAGGAGTGGAAGCAAGCTACGATATGTGATGCAGCCAAACTGCCAAGCATTATGCAAGGTATGACATTCATTCTTCTCTATACAGTACTCAAATACATACACAGTACAATGCAACATGAAATGGTAAAGGTCATGTACACACATTTATTGTTTCTTTTGAATGTTTTATTATAATCTCTAGTTAACAATTTTGCTTGGTTTTGTTTAGTTCGAGAAAGCCAGGATTCCGATGCACTGGAGAAGGACTTGATTGATGCTACTGTGGAGGACTTGAGTGATGCTGCAGCTGATATTATTAACGGTATGAATCTACATTTAACTTTATTATAATTACAGTACTGTACATTGAAAATCCTTTGTTAATAAAACAACCAAGCCTGTCATTCTGATCTATTTTCCAAAGGTAAAAATGTTTTATAAGAGTGTATAGTACTGTATATAAATGATTATACAAATGATATGTATACATAATTGTTTTCTTTTTTTTAACAGATGAAGCCAATTTGCATGACATATGTGTGCAAGATTTTGTTGCTGTGAGAGTAAAAAATACTGGAAAGAAAGCAAGATCTGATGAATTGCATGTTGCCCAGGTAAATATTTGTTATCCATTCACTTACAGTATTTTGTTAACTTTAAGTTAATGCATGAGGCCTTTACAAGAATGAGAAAACTGCATCAGGATTCTAAATGCTGCTCGTTTGATAGCTGAAAAATAGTGGAGTGATGGTCATCCACATTGTTTTTCTCATGTAATATATTAAAGTCTAGATTACTGAAGTAACACAGTGTTACTCTAATCAGTCTATATTATGCTGTTTTATTTGTTCAAATTACAGGTTGCATCTGTACTTCAGGATGCTTCATATGGCCTGTCATACATGGTGAAGATGAAAAGCAGCAGGCAGCATTACACATGGCCACAGGGTGACGAAGTATTCTTCATACATCCTCTATGCGATATCGTTACAAAACTTGATGCGCCAGAACCAGTTGCTGTGGGCTCACGATTATCCTTCAAATTTGACATGTCCCAAGCTCAGAAACTTTTTAATGAAGAGTAGAATGTAGTTTAGTTTCTAGAGCCCACAGATTGTGTACTCCTGATAAACTTCAAACAGAGCTTAGTAACATCAGGAAAAAACCAAAAAACAAATACGAAGAACGAAAATTAATAATAGGCCTAGTATTAATTTTATTAAATAAGGAACATGATGGCGATGTGATATCAGCTACATATACTGTAGTAGATGTTTAAATAAGGTAAAGAAACACTTAATTAAAGAGGTAAAATTCATAACTTTATGGCAGTATAAAAATGTTTCTCATTTTATATCTACTAAGGATCAAACCCCTAAGGAGTACAGAAGTTCTGTTGTATATCATTTTAAATGTCCAGGCTGCAATAGTGATTATATTGGTAAGACAGATAGGTGCTTAATAACTAGACAGATATTCCAATTCCACTTGCCATTAGTTGTCACGTCTCATCGTGAGACTCACGGATGATCGATAAGTAGCCAGTCTCGATATAATAAATAATAACTCGCAGATTTATAGACTGAGAAAATCCCAGGACAACTTTGGCATTTATAATTAATTTATTTTTTGGTACAGTATTTTCATTGCGAATTAAGGTTGCCTTTTCCATTTCATTTGTGATTTGCAATGAGTTCAAATGTAAGAAAATATTAAATTAAATGCCAGAGCTGTTTCGATCCATAGTATGTTAGGAGGCAACCACTGGAAGGATCTCCTGCAATAAGTATGCAGGAATGTACAAGGACATTCATCAGCTGGGTCCAGAAGTCTCAGCCTCAACTCGAACAAACTGAATTAAATATGAACTGTGATTTAGTAGTACAGTGTTAGTAAAAAAAAAAAAATGAAAGTTAGCTATGGCACCAAAACATAGAACAGACAACATAAAAATGAAAGAACTTGTAAAACCATTAATTCAAAGCATGCTGAAAAATATTTAACATGAAAAACAATTAATCCATAGACAACGCTTGTTTAAAAGCATTTAAAACATATGTAATAAAAAAAATTTCAAATTAAATGAAACAGTTATACTGTAATTAAATATGTTTCCTTATAATTATGTTGTTGTTGAATTTAGTGATACTTCACTATATGCTATTATCACTTACTGGTAATTTCTGGTACTGGCACATACATATTTCAATTGTTTTAACCAAGTTTTAACTCGCTGTATGGGATTGGGAAGTTTTATACCACAGTGGTATAGATGTAACTAGACACGGTGTCCCAGTTACATCTTGCTCACCTCGTTAAATGTTAATAAGAGATAAGCAAATGTTAACATTGTTGATATATCATTTGGGACAGGTAAATCATAATATAAACTGCATATAACAATAGTGTATACCACATACTGACTGTTTTTAAGTGTTTCAGGGAAAAAAATTGCCAATCAACCATAATGTCTTTATGTTAACTGAAGTAGGAAGAAAAACCAAAATACCATTTTGTTACATCTTACATGTTGATATTAAAAATGTTGTTGGTTATCTTTAATACCATTATGAGTGTCATTTAATTCTGCATTGAGTTACTTATTACCAGCTTTCTATAGAAATATTTTTGCATATTGAAATTCAGTATGGTGTCCCTTGTTACATCTTGATTTATTTCATGGCGATTCATATTGTACCTTTCTTATAAAATTTTTATCAAGTGATAGGATAATTTTTTTTTTTTTTTATGAAACTACAATACTAAAAGTAACTGAAAAGCACATAACAATAACAATTGAAGCATTTACAAAAACTGACTTTCATGTCACACTTTGTGGCCCAACTTCATGGAAAGACCCATATATATATAATTCATATTCAATCGGTGTTGTTGATGTGGATCCACGTATGTCTCATCGTAGGAATAAATCAGTAGGTAGACGCAGTCGCTAATAAATATTTCTATGTCTCCTACAAGTCAAAGTAT